AGTTCGTAAGCACCTGAAATTTGCAGATAAAAAAACATTCGCGAATTGGTAGGTCTCATAGCTACACCAGAGCAAACAGGTTTCGTTTTCAAAGACAGCTGATGAGACTTCATACACAATTGTTTGAAAAACCGACCAATCCTTGAACTTGTGCGTGCGTTTTAAACGTTATTGCGCGTGACCCACAGCACAAAACAAAGTCATTTCTCTGAGTTCAAACAACCCTTTGTGAAGAGCATTCACAAAACTGTCACCATTTGTCATTTTAATCTTGTTTTTGGCGGCGCTATCTGGGCGGGATCGTTTGTCCCTCTGAGTGGAGGTGCTGCGGCCGTTTTTCTGCTGGTCCGCCGGTGTGACCGGGATACATTCCTGCCGCGGAGGACCTTGTCATTACTCCCTCGCGCCGCTCGCACCTCTGATGACCAGATAGGAGCGCCGACGGCAGAAGGGGTGCCATCACGGGCCGCGCCTCCACCCGGTCCCACGCGCCGGCTCACACGAGCCCAAGCAGGGAGCCGGCGCGAACCCACCGCGCTAACGTCGGGACGTCCCGTTTTTAAGCACGACTGCTGCTGTGTCGACAGACGCCAGCGATGACAAAAAGCCGGGCCGTTTTTCTTATACCAGCCGCCCGTTTCTGACACAGTTTAATCGCAAAGCCAGCTCGGCGTAAAGGAATCAATTAACGGGGACAGCTCGCCGTCACTGGAGGACGTGACGCGGCCCAGAACAGGGCGACGAGTCGCGGCGTCTCGGTGGGCTTCTGCTGGAGCAACCCACCGTCTCACCACCCCCCCACTGTCATCCCTCCTCCCCCATCCCCTCCCTCCCTCTCTCCTGGGGCGTCCGAACCAAACCGTCGCGACCGCCAACTGGCCGCGGGGCCCGACGAAAAGACAAACGGTTCAGAGCGCCGAGCGGCGACCGACCTTGGTCGGACAGAGACGTAAACTGAATGTCAGAGAGAGCCCGCTGAGGGAGACCGAGCCGGGCGGTCGTTTTTGTTGTGTTTTTGTTGCAGCAAAGGCGTAGGGCGATTTGTAGCTGGGACAGCGTGAGTCCCGCGGAGAGTGGTTGTCGTGTCATCGTCCGATGTGAGGGCATTTGTTCGGAGCTGCGGCTCTGATGGAGAGGAAATGAAGGTCTGTGTGCAGAGTTAATGAACAGGAAGAAACAGATACACTTCTAGATGGTGAAACATGGCTTGAAATGGAGTTCGTCAAGGTTAAGTTCTTTCGTCTAGGAACTAAAAATCCGCGTCAATTTTTTGTCTACCCGTTCTTCGGCAGATGAAGTTAACAGATAAAACACTACACGTTGATTTGTTATTTCAAATAAATTGACACCATACGCACACCCCATCACGTCTAATTTCACATTATCACATGTCCGGCCACCCTGCATCATATTGGAAATTCCTCCAGCCACCCACCACCGGACGTCCACCCCAGCTCCCCGTTGCCATGGGCTGGTCAGGTCACTCCCCGTTGCCATGGCCTGGTCGAGTCACTCCCCGTTGCCATGAGCTGGCCGGGTCATCACCCGCCGTGGTGTGGAAAAAGTTAGCCCGAACTGAGCAGCCGGGACGGACCGGAGTGGCCTCACTGCCTATAGACACGACCCTGGGTCAGCAGGAACCTCCCAACGAGGCTGGTAAGGACGTGACCGTCACTACCTCTACCAGGGACGACCCCAGGGTCCTACACGGTTCGTCGGAAGGTCATCTCAGGCTCAAAAGAAACGGTATATACCATTCGAAAGCCGACGGTGAGCTGAATCCAAAAATGTAATTTTTATCAAAATCGATCGATGGCCTTTTTTGAAAATTGCGTTTTTGTAAAAACTTAATAATCTTTTATTTAACGGGCTGTCCCGGACATTCTTGAAAACATAAACATGTGTTTTTTAGTTCCAGTGAAAGCTGAACGCCAAAAGAACAATATTTAGCGAAGCAATATTTCATAACAATAATATGCGTCTCCCACAGCCGACAATAAGGCGCAATCACACAGCTCAGTGTCACGATGGACCAAAGTCAGCCACACAGAAGCGTGAATTGACCCTTATCGACTCGCAGACCCGGCGCTCTCGGCCCGCCTGACCGGCCACGGAAAGAACGTTCGGCTCTCGTTCTACTAAACATATGTCATATTTGTCACTTTAACTGTCCACATCGCTATGAAAGTTATTCAGGATACCTGTGAAGAAAATTCATTGTTCTGCTTGATTTACAACATGCTTTAATTTACATTTTTCTTATACATGTTTTGTTCCATCCAGCTGCGATCAGTGCCCGCGCAGGGGAAGTGAGCGAGGTTTCACTGTCAGAGGCTGTACTGATGACAGCTGCTCGGCCGTGCGACCGGTCAAAGGTTACCCTGCCCCACCGGGCGCTACCCCCACTCCACCCGAGCTGAGGCCGGTGCAACCTCTGACATTTCAGCGCGGCCAATTTTCCTTATATGGGCATGATACCAAGCTCAATTGAGCAAAGTAGACATGAACAAATGCAAATTAATGCATGATGTGAAGATGACAGAACAATGAATTTTCTTCACAGGTATCCTGAATAACTTTAATAGCGATGTGGACAGTTAAACTGACAAATATGACATTTGTTTAGTAGAACGAGAGCCGAACGTTCTTTCCGTGGCTGGTCAGGCGGGCCGAGAGCGCCCGGTCTGCGAGTCGATAAGGGTCATTTCACGCTTCTGTGTGGCGGACTTTGGCCCATCGTGACACTGAGCTGTGTGATTGCGCCTTATTGTCGGCTGTAGGAGACGCATATGAATGATTGGAAATATTGCTTCGCTAAATATTGTTCTTTTGGCGTTCAGCTTTCACTGGAACTTAAAAATACATGTTTATGTTTTCAAGAATGTCCGGGACAGCCCGTTGAATAAAAGATTATTAAGTTTTTACAAAAACGCAATTTTCAAAAAAGGCCATCGATCGATTTTTATAAAAATTACATTTTTGGAATCAGCTCACCGTCAGCTTTCGAATGGTATATAGGGGAGAGCGGGGCCAGTTGAACCACTTTTTATACATTGACATGCACAGCGAGATCTAGTTGTCATATCGAAAAATGCACAATGCCATGAAAAAATATGCTCTTTTGGCTTTATTTTAAGATATGTAAAATTATGTTTCAAACATATTTTGCTGCCAAACGCATGCTTATAAAACAGCTCTACGCCCGTTTCAAATGACCCCGATGCGAGGGTTAATTGAACCAGCCCATGGGGTCAATTGCACCTATCCTTAACAATGGGATGTTTTCCTCTTTAAGGCCACTTTCTTAAGGAGATATTTTGTCCGGTTTACTTTTCCAAATGCTACACTCAATAGGTCGTTGGAAAGCTAAAAGTGCAAAGTTCCTCATAATAGGTGACATAAAGTACATAGACTGTGGTAAAATGGGCGGATGAGAAAAATGAGAAATATCTCAGGCTATAGTGTGCTTTCAAGCAAAAGGCTGGAGAAAAGGGGTCAAAAATTGAGCTTTATTAAACTACTATTTCAGTTTAAAAGCTCATTTCAAAGGTGGACTATTTCCTTTAATGTTTACAGCCCCTGAACAATAACCATTGCAAAGGTCACCGGGGTCCATTGAAACGGCCTGTGGCCCTGTTTCAACTGACCCTCAGAGAAGCGTTTCAATTGACCCCATCCGCTCCCGCCATCTCGCACGCACCGTAAAGCACATGTCAAACGAGCTGGAGGGACGGCATCATGCTGAATGAAGGGCCAAATAAGGTGTTATTCCGGAGCCAAGAGTTCTTCTTTCAGCAAACAAAGGTATATGAGATATCACAAAATATTCATAAAAACGATTTCTCCCAAACGCCCCTCAAAAACACAAAAACAAGTGTCAAATCAAAATTACCGTCCGTTTGCCGCCCAAACGCCGTTGACAAAGGAAGTGGTCGAGCGCGGATGCGCAGTGGTGTCGGCAACGCCATATGTTGCATACTGTTGAAAATAAAGCCATGTTTCATCTGACCCCGTGTTTCAACTGGCCCCGCTCTCCCCTATCGTTTCTTTTGAGCCTGAGATGACCTTCCGACGAACCGTGCCTATTGTATCGGAAGTAATGGGACACGAGAGAGGAGGGTCACGTATTGACTTCGATGCTGCTCATACAAAGGCAACATTGAAAGTCAAGGAAAAATCAAACAGGGAAGAATAAACGTTAATGTCCTTTTAAAACATAGTAGCTCGTCGAAAAACCTTTCCTACAAACAACCCATAAAATCGGCCATTTGCTTCTCAGAATGGAAACCCATTAATTTTCCACAAACATCCCACCTAAATTGTAAACATTTATCAGCGTTTGACTCCTGTGTTAGAAGTGGGCCACATAATGACAGCGCCACCGGCCCAGATCGTGACCTTTTGACCTGGGTGGGACCGACAAACTCCGACAGAGACAGAGCTGACCTTTCCGGGACCTGGCCGGAGCCGAGCTCGCTCTGGTCGAGCTCGCTCAGCCGACAGTCAAAGGCCGCGACGCGTTACCTCACAGCGCTGCTGTTGCAGCTAATAATAGAGGATACGAGCAGACACCAGCACGACCCAACTGCCGCCGGCCGATTTGCATGCATGAATGGCGCGAGAAGGCTCGTTTTCAGTCGAGGATTAGTCTCGGATTTAGCGCGTTTAATTGCAACGGACGCATCCCATTTTAGCGTTTGAATAGCCCATTTTGAAATCATATATGCTCCAATTCTGAAAGCAAATAGCCAATGTTTCTAGTTCTCCGACAGCTACATCGGAATTGTTTATATAAACAAACTAACAAGAACCTTATTTAGAAACTTGGGTTGGCGATGTGTTTCTCACTTTGTCGGATCAGCAGCATTCCGTCCAAGCTATCTAAGTCATTTTTATGTAACAACAATTAACAATAACAAAGCTCAACATTTCATCACACTATCACACCCCATGACCAGAGCTATTTATCTGATCCACCACTAACTCCCTTCCATCTCCAGTTTCAGACTGTGTCCGGATCACGGAGCTGCACGTGCCGCCGGTGGTGGAGCACAACACCAACACCAGCGCCGTGCTCGACTGCGAGTACCACCTGGGCGAGCAGAGTGACATCAGCATGCTGATCGTGCGCTGGTTCTTTAACGACCTGAGCGCCCCCGTCTACCAGTGGGTGAAGGGCCGCCAGCCCTCGGCGGCCGGCATCCTCAAGGGCAGGGTGAATCTGGATCACGAAGTGTCCTCCGACCCGCTGATGAAGCACAGGGCGCTCAGCCTCATCAACCCGACCATCGAGCTCGGCGGCAAGTACACGTGCAAGGTCACCACAGAGGTCAACTTCGACATCCGCTCCAAACAGATGGTCGTCTACGGTGAGTTCGTCACTTCAGTGTAGTGTTTTGATTACAATGTGTGTATTACAGACATATAGACATACAGACATACAGACACACAGTCATCATTGAATAGTCTTTGTTAATGACACCAACTAAGCAATTCAGGATTGATGAAAGTCCGTGTCGCTCTTTTATATGAACCAGCCGGTTTGTAGCGGAATTCTTGCGAATATACCTAGGTAAGTCTAAAAATAAGATGCTAACTATGAAGACTATGAAGACTATGATAACTATGAAGTGTTCTAATAAGCTGCTCGGCAGCATCTGCAAGTGGCAAAGTCAATTAAAAAAAGAGGCTCAGAAGCCTCCCATGGAGTCGCCGGGTACGACGCAACACCATTTCCACTTTTGCCTCGGCGGCGTCCCACCAGTGCAGCGCCTGTATCTCAGCGGATCCTCAACGACCCTCGCGGCCCTCCACCTCACGTGCAACCCGCTATCACCTCGCGTTAGTAGTGGCACCATAGCCTACATACGAAGCGACACAGCGACCCTCTCTTCACAAACCAGGAGGTGGCGGCGGCCAGATTGTATCCCCAGCCGGTGGATTTAATAATAGCCGACCACCGCCGCCCTGGCCCCCTGCCGCCCCCGCATCCCCGGCTCTGACGCCGCCGGAGGAGGCTGCCAACTGAAGGAGTGCCGGCTGCCAACTCGGGCGGGTCGGGAACAGCTGGCGCCGATGGTGAAGGACAGGTGACGGCGGACTGGTTACCAGCTGGCCGATAAAACTCACGGTCATCTCGGGTCTCCCGCGGTGGGAGGTCGAGGTGGCGGTTGTTTGAGTTCGCTGGGCCCAGTTTGTCTCGGGATGTAGCCGTGCGCTTGCAACTCGGTCGCTTCTTATAGCTTGGCAGCCGACACTCCACAAATCAAGTAGTGAGTCAAGTTTTCTCGCAAGTATCACACAAGAGCTTTGATGTTGAGCCACATGTCCGACAGTTTGCTAGAGTGTTTAACTCATCAATCGAGTGAAACGGCGAGTCTTTGAAAAGAAATACAAACTCGAGACACACTTTCCGATAACTTTCCATCACCTGGCCACATGTTTGGCCAACAGCTCAACCGTCGCAAACTTACACCAGAGAAACTGTTACAAATTGGTTATTTATTACTGCAAAAACTACCCGACTGCCGACTTATTTGGTTGAAAAGCGACCACCTGCCGCTGCCGATTGCCTAGCTCCGTCTGGCCTCTGTATGCCCGTCTGTCTGTCTGTGTGTCTGGGTATGTCTGTCGGTCTGTCGGACGTCGGCTGACCACCGCGGCTGCCCTCGGGGACCGACAGGTCTATTTGAGCCCGGCGCGGCGGGAGGGATGGGTCAGCTCCCGGCCGGGGGAGGGACCACCCCAGAGCTCTGCCGCCGCGCCGGCTGGCCCGCCTGGTCGGCAGCTATCCGTCTCCCAACAGCTGGGTACCGGGCTGACTCCCCGACCAGCCGCGCGACTGACGGCTGTTCAACCATCGAGCCGTCCGGCAGACAGACGGACAGAGAGAGAAAATCACTCACACTGCCCAGCGCCGGGCATCGAAAGCGACAGCAGAACAGCGGCAACGGCCGCGACCGAGCGGGGAAGGCAGAGCTAGCAGGGCGGGGCGCCGACCGTCGAACCCCAGACGAAATCAGTCCAAATTCCTCTGCGGCCGGATAGCGCACCACTCCAGTATGCGGCTCCAGCCCGCGGCGCAGGCCGCCCCGTCCGAGCCAGAAGTCTAATTCAATCGAACGATGCGCGTGCACTCATTAAACTATAATGCCGGCCGGGTAATGTGTTATTAGTTGGCGGCGCGAGCCTCACGGCAGAGTGATGGGCGGACGGACTGGGCCGGATGAGGTCAGGAGCGACTCTAACGGTCCCCCTGTGGCGTCCATCAAACCCAGAGGCCCGGGGGAAGCTGATGTGGTGGCCGCTGGTCGATCCTATCGCCGAGTAGTTAGATTGTTATATCCTGGTTATATTAGCCCATTAAAAGTTTATGCCATATTTGTCCGGTAGTAGTCTTGTAATGAATATCGATTTAAATATTGGCTTCTTGATGGATAATAAATTCACGCTTTCCAAGAAATTGCTAAGCTGCTTCAGAAAGCACTAGCATTGTCATGTCAAACGCAGTCAATGTTGGTAAAATGTGGTAAAATGAGACCCCGACGTTCATAACGTATAAGTAAAATTCGCATGATCCAGACAAATCAAAAAAGACGTGAAGAATGTTGGCTTTTGATTACATTCAAGCACATTGTCGAGCATGCACACTGAAAACAATGCTACATGCTTGGGCGCATTATTCCTCATGGTTATTGGCATTCATCCAAAACAGAACGGCCCCACAATGTCAGTCATCAGTCGTTTATGCCAACATAGACTCCATACTTCGTCGCCACCTCATCAGATACTTCAGCGCCAAACTACTCCCATATTCAATTACGGCAGCGGCTGTTTGCCGGCGTGTGGTAATTCACCGCGCCCCGAAATTGCCCCGAGAAGTTAGCCACAGACGGCGATTGATACCATTCGCGGTGGGCGTCCACATTTCAGGACGGCGCGCGCGGCGGTGTCTTCCAAAGTTACGAGCTCCGCGCACGGCAGCGGGAGCGTGCCAGTGAGCAGAGCGCTCCGAACCACTCAGCCCAGCCGCCTCCCAAGCCCGCCCCGTCTCCCGACCTGACCGCATTCCACCCTTCGGAACGCCCCGTCCGCTCCCGATAATTGATTGCTCATTCGAAGTTTGCCGTTCATGACACTGATTATGCCCCGGGGCGGGGCGAGTCGGCGGCGAACCGTTCGCCAATTACTGGGTGGTGTGTGATGCGGGGTGGACGTCGGAGTGCGCGGCGCGCGTTCCGGCGTTTGTGAGTGCTCTGTGCGTCGTGCGGGACGCGAGCGGGGCGCATCGCAGACAAGACGGGCGTGAGTTGGATGCCTGTGTCCTGTTCAACGTATAGCCAGTAGGACAAGTTAGTGGGAGGGCCATCGAGGTCGATGTGGGGAATGGGGAGAGGGAGAACTCGTGCCGAGCGGGTTTGGCAGCGAAGATGACGGCCATACGGGAAGTGTGGCTTGGCATGGGCGAGGCGGAAACTTGAAGGGTAATGGACGAGCTATGAAAACAGCATTCGTTCACGAATGCACGTGCAATCCACAAAGATTATCATTATCTCACTTGTCAGGTACTGATGATGTTCTCCCCCTCTATCAGCTTTTGACGTGTTTCTCTTTCTCCTTCAGCCCCGGCGCGCACGATGAACCTGACCGAGGACAAGCCCTCGCCCACATCAGTCAATATCAGTTGTCTGGTGGAGGGCGTCTATCCGGCCCCCAAGCTGGAGCTCTTCGTCACGCAGGAGGGCAACAAGGACAGGTGAGCTCACTTGTCGCACGCAACAAATCTGTCTTTTTATGACCCTTTCCGATGCAATATTTTCCCTTCATTATTGTGATTTCTCCAACGTAAAGCGTTCAGCTGTTATCTTAGCAAAAAGTAAGTCAATCGCCCGGCCAACTCCGACTAAACTGTTGGTCGTCTCAATTACCCATGTTGCAGTAGTTGAGCTCCCGATAGAGAAACTTGAGAGAGTTAAAAAAAGCGATAAAAGTTGAACCGTTACGGAAAAATACAGCCAGCTTCAAAGGTGTTTGTTGGCGAATCAGTTACATCTATTTGAAACTTCAGTGATTTGTAACGATTTATGATATTTCTTTTTAAGTCCTCAGGGATGTTGAAGGAGAAAAACAAACGGCACAACCACCTTTAGTGCTTAATGATAGCAGACATATTTAGTGGCATTAATTCATTGCAGTCTTGCTAAAAAGAATGGTATCTGGAGAAATGACTGTAATTTTGCATCAGCATCAATAAAAAACAAGGCGACACCAACAATGAATTCAATCCTATTGCTCAGTATTGAATGGAAAACTGGCCTTTTACGTTTGACTCGGCTAACTACAGTCTTGAGAGGGACTGATGTCATGCCAGCACTCCTGAAACCTTGAATGTGCTTGATTGTACCGCCTATGAGCCAAATCCCACCGACCAAAAGCATAAGCGCCGTAAATTTCCTCAAATGTCCATCACTCAAAAAGTGTCTCTGGCCCGCGCTATGACCGCGATTGACGTCTGCGTCTCCTTTCAGCCGGAAGCCACTGGCGGACGTCACAGAGTGGACAGAGACCACTGACGACTCCCTGTATGACGCCGCGGCGCACGCCACCATCGAGGATTCGTCCCTCGAGGGCAACACAGAGTTCGAGTGTGTTATGAGCGTTCCCGACACGCCCTACATGGAGAAACGGACCATCACGTACTCGTATGGTGAGTGTTTTAGAGCGGGTGGTCGGTTAAGAACGGCAGTGGTGAATGGTCATACTGGTCCTGGGCGCAGTCATCGATTCAAGGAGGTGAGTTGTAGAACCGGCACGTGCTCGCAATTCGCATACTTTCGCTTTCTTTGACGAATTTGGTACTTTTCCATCATTATTTCTTTTCTTTATTCTTTTTATTCGAGCGAATAAGACACGATAAGCCTGCAACGCAATGCATTGGATTGGATTTGTAGTTACGTTTTTATTCTAGCAAAAAAAGGTAAAAATACTGCAGTAAAAATACTGCATAAAAAAGACCAGTGCATAAAAATTGTACATAAAAATACTGCAACACACAAACAAGAAAGCGCCATACATTACTCTAAAACCATTGGAATAAGAAACAACACTAGCGGAGCCAATTTAGTTGGAATAGAGTAACTTGACATCAGTCTGCAAGACAAACGATATGCCATTGTCACCACAATATCACGGCTTTATTGGACACACAATGGCGATATCAATCACCTAGCCATTTCATCAGGATGGACATCCATAGCCTCGTTGTGGACACAATGAATCCGAGACAGACAGACAGCCTTGCAGTCCGCCGCATTAGCTCTTCATTTTCCTCCACACATTGGTCCTGAGAAACCTGAAAAATGTTGCAACATTCAGGTATAGACCGACATTGAGTGCAGTGGCGGCAATTTTATTCCATTTCGGTAATAACCAATTAATGGGAGTTCGAAAATTGTATTCATTTTTTGGATTATTTTTGGTGAAGTAATTCTTCCGCATCGCGTTCAAATTTAGGAAAACCGTGTATTAGATTTTCATCACCAACCGTGATTTGAAGACAAACTCCAGATTGGCAATAGGTATGTGTAGAAGCTATGAGATGTTCGACCAAAAGTCTTCGGTATCGTGACTGCCTCGCATCGCTCATAATGCAGGGTGCGTTCGCTGGTGGGCGTTTACACTCCAAACCTTGCAACTAGCTCATGATACTTGAGCCAACGCTTCTTCCTTCATAAATCATCAGGGTGGGAAAGGTGTTCGCTGAAATTCCCACAGCCTGCTAAATAATCGAGGATGTCGGAGAGGGAATATAGATGGCCGGCACGTCGCTGAATCCGGCTATTGATGGCTTGCATCATGATCATAATTTGTAAAACTGTCAGCGGGAATCATTACTGCAGAAGTTATCGGGAAGGGTTTCTTCGACTCTGCTATGTAGAACCTTCGGTTTCTTTGGATATTTTTTATCTTAAAATTCATGTAATGCTTATGTTAACCATCGTGCCTTATTTACAAATGGTTTGGTGGGACAAATGTTTGTTTTTTGAACTGTACACATAAACCTAAATTCGCAGCTTTTGTAAACAATTTGCAAGACTGATCATAAATGCGTATGTAAGTGATTAAAAAAAAAAATGCTGTCACTGGACAATTCTCTTCTAGGGAAATCAAACAACTGGTTGTCATCGTCTTGCTGTGTATCCTCCTTAGGATTATATATTCCCGACCGGGGCTGGGAAAATGCGTTTTATTCACCGAGGTTTTTGTGCGGAGGACCGAGTGCCGGTAGGCACGAGGTCCGTAGCAAAAAACCGAGGTGAATAAAACTGCATTTTCACAGCCCAAGGTTGGGAAGAGATTTACCACATGCCGTACCGGCGCAACAGTTAATATCATATTCATTTGATATTTTACACTTTAATCTTAATATTGTGTTAATATTATATTAATACTATGTTCATATATATAGTCACCGTGATTATTTGTTTGTGTTTTTCATTATTAGGCTGCGTTGAGTATAAAAGATGAAATTCCTACTTCCCCCTTATTTAGGGTTTGAAAAAGCTGAGGATGAAGATGGTGAAACGCCAGAAGTTAGAATAAAGATATGGAGTCCAGCAGGAGTGAGGAAACCGTAAGGAAAACTAAAAATTGGGTGAAACGCTGAATCAAACGCATCTTGGATCCCAGCTGGAACAATATCAAATGTTTCATTGTGGCAGTAAAGATGCTTCACGCATTTAAATTGTTCGTTTTTTTGCGTGCATTATGTAGAAATAATGATTATTCCGACCATGTTCTGCAGCAATAAAATACATTGGCATTGGAACGATAACCTTGTTTAGTTGAATTACGTTGACAGCAAAAGTATGTAAACACGCAGTCACTTACTTTTGCTGTTGCTGTTAGTGAACACACAATCCGTAAATATCTTCTTTGAAATTGGTTCTTCCGCTCAGAATATTCAGTAAAACTTTGTCTGGGAAAATCAAAAAGCCCTAGGGCCGAATCGTTTCCCAAATACCTTCAACATTAGCCGAGGCGGGCCGAAGCCATTTCCCAAATGCACGTGCTAATGTTAAAGGGATATCTCGGCATGTGGTAAAACTATAAGACATTCATGACGACCTTACGCTTATAACTCAACATGCCCGAGATTGGGTCTTATACTGAAAACTTCTATAGCCCAACTCCTATAGCCAAAGTTAGCTCAGGTTTTAAGGAATTTATTCGTCATGCGAGCCCTCGCAAAACTGCTCCGATCCTGACAGAGTTTATTCGAGACGTTTCCAAATATTTAACACCGGGGCAGACCGCGTAACTGCAGACTGGCGCCTGACTTGAAGAAGCTGGGCTACTAACTTTCTGGCCGTGGGATTAAGGGCACTCACGCAGGCCGTCTTGTCGGCACGGCAACACACCCCACTCGAGCATCCCCCGCACACAGGAGGTCGACTTAATTAAACTCGGCGTAACCGCGTCATTTTGGACGGGGCAGAGCACCGGCGTCCTAGAACTAACCAAATGTAGGTTATACACGGCATAGATATGCATTATAAACAAGATGGAGTCGTCAAGGATATTTGAATTGCTTTTTTTCATTGGAGAATGTAATATCCACTCGTAGATCTATTCTTGAAAATCTGCAAAATCAGATGGCAGTATACGTGCCTCACCTTGTTGGTATCTAGATCTTATCACTTTCTGATATAGTATGAACCCGTCTAACCAGATCCCACCAGGTGCGATCAATCAATCAATCAATGTATTCATAGGTACATCCACCATACAATGGCTCTTCGCACCCGAGTCACACTGCGTCAATACGAATAAAAACAGATGAAAAGAGCGGGTAAAAGCGACGGTGCTGACCATACGACACAACACAACACAAGCACACAGGCTCAGCTTTACCCGGCCCCGGCCTCACGCAACAGCAGCTGCCTCAGCCGCCGCTTGAACGCAGGCCGCCTCAGGCACTTCAGATCACAAGGCAGCCGATTGAACACAGCACTGCAGTGAACCAGTCGTCTATCACCAGAACATGTCTTAGCTCGAGGGCAGTAAAGCAGGCCATTCTGACGGGTTTCATAGGAAGTGTCAACGAACGAAAACATTGCAGCTATATCGGCAGGCAGACGAGTACCTAAGGCGGTTTTGACTAGACAGAGTCTGTGGTAGCTCACAAGCTGCTCGGCACGCAGCCACCCAAGCTGACGGAGTACATCGGAAATATGATCGTACTTACGACGCCCGCTGATGACTCGGGCACAAAAGTTTAGCAGCTTTTGCACACGATGTAGCTGGGTTTTGGAACAGGTCCCATAGACGGAGATGCAGTACCGAATAGAACTCACAACCAGCGCGTTCACTACATGGGCGACAGTCCACGAAGGCAATACATGTTTGGAATGAGACAGTGATATGAGAACACCGGTACATTTAGTTACAAGCTGGGTGATATGGTATTCGAACGTGAGATAGCGATCCATGACAAGTCCGAGGTTTTTCACCGTACGACTTTCGCTGATGACAGACGAACCAAACTTAATCATGACAGGCTGGACATTCTGCAGATTACGTTTAGTGCGAACCCACTAAAATCCAATCTGACCCTCCGATGAGCGCTGCTCCATGCAGGCGCAGCCGCCTTGTGAATACCGTCCCCAATAAAAGACGGGCCGAGCTCTCAAAGGCACTCCGTGAAAACCGTCCGCCGAGGCGGCGACTCAAAGTTAACAGGTCGGAATCTCGTAAAAGGCGCCCTTTACTGAGGAATCAAATGGTTTGTTGATGAAGTTGAGTTCAAAGCCAAGTAACTAGATCACAGGAAAATGACTGATTTATATAATGCGGACCTAACGCGACTGTCCGGGATTGTTTCTCATGTGACTATTTCTATTCGTGGTTTGCACGATTTCGCAAAAGTGTTTAAAAACAAAAAGATAAAAAAACGTTTATCACTGCATATTATGCATAAGGACTTGTATCCATATTTTATCCAAGAACTTACGCATTTCACACGTATCAAAAATATTCAAATGCAATTTGATGCTAATTTTCCCGAATTATCAAGTCTTAACTCTCAACCCTCAAGGCTACAGGCACCAGCGGCGGAGTAAGTGCCTTATGGAAGCCGTCCTCCTCCATCCCGCCGTGGGTCATCCCAGACCGATACTGCGTCACCTTCCGACAGCTCCGGTAGCCCGGAAAATGGCGCCCTAAATAATCCCGTCCTCTGTCTCCTCGCCAACACAAACCACGCGCAGCCCCATCAGAACCACGTCTGAACACGGGTCATGCATAAGCACACATAACTGGAAACAGACGGGCCAGCGTGTGATGTGGTGAGCGGGGGAGTCACGCAGCTGACACCGCCGTGGTAAGGCTCCGTAACGGCAGCGTTACGCAGTCGTTACCGGGCGTAACGCCACCGCAACGGCGACGAGACGTCTCCGCGAGACGCCGGTTATTGCAGACATGCGGGCCAGACCGCAGACTGGGGGCATTTATCGCCGTCTGCCAGGATTTACACAGCCGCCAAGAATGTGTCTGCCACGCACAGCTGTTCGGCGTCTGCGTCGACGTTCGCCAGCTCCGTCGTCTGTTCTCCTGTCTCCGTTTATTTATGTTGTCTGTCATCTGTTCTGTTTTGCTCGCGCTGCTATGTTGCTAATTAAACGTTCGTCTTTTCTCACGGTGTCACCTTGACGGTGCAGCCGTTAAACGCTTTCTTTTTTCTCTCTTCGCTCTTCGCATGTGTTTGTCTTGCCTTATTTTCAGCTGTTTTCTTCAACTTCCGTTTCCGCTGTCGCAGGTGACATTGTTAGTCCGACTTCTTCCGTTAATAACGAAACGCAAATCGCTGCACCTTCGCCTCTGAACGCTACTGAGGCTGACCTGGGTCCGGACTACGGTCCCGACAGGGTCCTGGAGGGTAAGCACAACACGCGGCTCGTTGCATGGCGATGTAGCCTTTTAGATTGGTGGGGATTGTGTTTCCTTTGGAAATTGCGGAGCATTGTCTGTTGACAGAAACTGATTTAACTTATTTGCACCATAGTTTTATACGACACCTGAGGTAACAATAAGTTTTTCTTTACAACCATCCAGTGTCTACGTTTGCTTGCCACACCGCGCTAATGGCCGTTCTCTCTTCTGTTTCAGGTGCCGTGCTGGCAGCCAGCAAAGGTGAGTGTGCAGACAGAACATTTACAGCTGTTAGATTTGAAATATTTCATTGTAATACCACCAATAAATAGCTTTTCGCCGTGTAAAGGTAGGCGGGCGATGGAAGACATTTTAGATTGCTATCACATTGGCGAAAGGGTCAGCAAAATAGTTAGGTACTTAATTTTGGTACTAGTTATTCGTATGTCGGCGCTACAGTTTGCTATACGGCATCGATTTTGCGCTGGAACTTGTGAAGCGTCGATAGCAACAATCCCTCGTACTACCACCAATACGTCATGTGGTAGGTACGACAATTAATTGAAACAAAACCTTTTAACAAATTAGCGTCACGATCAGAGGCGGATCCAGCTCAGAGTTTTTTTTTGGGGGGGGGGGCAAACCATAACAATTTATCGATTCTTTCCATGCCTCGTCCATAGGCGTAATGTTAAAATTATGCCGTTTGGGGGGGGGGCAAATGCCCATTTTGCCCCCCCCCCTGGATCCGCCACTGGTCACGATAATAAGGAGGCACCGACGCAAGCGAATACCGAAAATCAACCGTCACTCCGACCCGAAGTTCAAGGATGACTTTGGTCATCACACCGTGCGCAATAGTGATGTTCCATTCTGCACCGCGACCGGCGGCGGTTTTTGACGCCAATGGCCGTTGCTGGGATGTTCCAGTGTTTGGCTAGCGCCGCGGTCATTGTTTGCGTATTGACAGATCCGCTGACCGTCTGGTCGCTTTGTCTGTTGACAATGCTCTCTATTGTTGGCGGTTGTCTACAAAGGATTAGCGCAAAGTGCAGCGATTTAGTGCAATTGCACCGTAATGCAGTAATGCAATGGTCGTTTACAGTCATTCACAGGGCTTGAAAAAAATATACGGGGCTTCCGTTTTAGGCCACGACAGGCCCCCTGACCTGGCAAGGCACGCCCTGACGGAGGTCACACTGCTGACTGACACGGCCTGACCTGAACGTCGCCGCGTGGGGATTCCCCGGCGAACAGTACCGGCGGCACCTTACAGTGATTAACAGCAATCGGTCCGGTGCGACGGCCCATCCATTTCCATGCCGGTCCGGTGGGGATTGGACGCCCGATTGACCTGTGACCGGCTGGCACACCTCCAGGGCTGTGTGCCTCTGCAGCCACACACATGCTTGCCGCCCAGGGACCAAGGCGTTCAGACGCCCGTCATCCAGCCTATCAGAAGTCTAAGTGTGAGAGACATTTAGCCCAATCATACAACGTGCATAATTAAGGTCACAGTCGGGTCGTCGTCCGCTTTAATAATTGTGAAAATCGACTGGACTGTTGGGATAGTCGTCTAGCCGTTGCACTTCATTTCTGGCCAGTCAGATAGTCGTTCTATACCATATCACCAATCTACTAGACCATTGAACCAGATCAGTTGCTCGGCCGTTCCGCTCGACGCTCGCCGTCTCTCAGCACCTGCTCGGAATGCATCCACCGCTCATCTATCGACTCCGGAGCCCTCCTCTGAGCGACGGCGGCGGTCCGGCCCCGACTGCGTCCTCCCAGTGGCCCGCCGAGAGCCGATATTGGGCCCAGCGGCGCCAACAGAGTATTTGCCATCTCCGCGGGGTAATTGATTGTTAATGGTCATCTCTGGCCGCTCCCTGACTGTGGCACAGCGAGAGACCGATGGCTGGAGGCCACGCTGGAGCGAATCTGGGCCGAGATGAGATTTTATTGGATTCTGTCCGATCAAAAGGTGGGCGTGAATAAGCGTCTGATCGGAATGGAACTGGCGAAAACATGGTGTTTACATATACAGCAGGGAGGTCTCGAAGTCAACGATGGGCCAGTGGAAGCCTTCGTGAAATAAATGACATTGCAATCCCTCACGAAATTTGTCATTCTGATAACGCTCGTTCATTTTATGGAAATCGCCTTGCGACGAGCGCCGACGGTGTTCCTATATTTGGACAAATCGGTAGTTATTTCCGTGGTTGGTTCGTCATTTGAAAACCGTCCTGTCGGTCGGGCCCGGACGCTGGTAACCGCCCTGTCGGTCTGTCGGGCCCGGACGTTGGTAACCGCCCTGTCGGTCGGGCTCCGTCGTTGCTAACCGCCCTGTCGGTCAGGCTCCGTCGTTGCTAACCGCCCTGTCGGTCGGGCTCCGTCGTTGCTAACCGCCCTGTCGGTCGGGCTCCGTCGTTGCTAACCGCCCTGTCGGTCGGGCTCCGTCGTTGCTAACCGCCCTGTCGGTCGAGCTCCGTCGTTGGTAACCGCCCTGTCGGTCAGGCTCCGGCGTTGCTAACCGCCCTGTCGGTCAGGCTCGGTCGAGCGGCTGATGAGCGCGCCGCAGAATCGATGGACGGTATACGGGCGCGCTGCGCCCACACCCACCGCCCATCACGCCTTGAAACTTAGACACTGATCTGAGCCATCCACCGTTTTGGCCACGGCTCATCGCGTCTCTGTGTGGAAATATACCAAATAGTGATAGCTGATAATCTATCCTTATATGTGTGATTACAAAACAAATTTTACTCACTTTTCCTTCTACCCCACCACATCCTGCTGCCTCACATCTCTGCCCAGCTTATACATCACATTCGCGACCCGCTCCGCCTCCACTCGCAGATTAGTTCACCACATCTTCCCCACAACCCGTTCAGCCGTGTCGCCGATCTAAACCCGTCCCAAAGTCCTGCGGGCACCGGATCCAGCTTCTCCGGGAGCTCCGCACAAAACTGCCGCCCACTCGAATCGACCTCAAGTGCTTCAAGTCGTCTCGAATCGTCTCCAGGCGTCCGGAGGTCTGGGAGGGTCCCGCAGAGGAATAGATCGTCGTCTCCGGCGCGGGTGGCGACTCACATTGGCTCGCAGGCCTGACCTAGAGTAGACTGAGCTCTGGGCCGATCGAACGACCGCCATTGACACAGGTGGGGATAGGGATGGGGGCAGGAATGGGGTGGACATATGGTGAACGGTAGGTGGACTAGCCGTAGACTGAAAACGGAAGGTGGCTGGTGGGGGACCTACGTATAGGACAGTGGATGGGGAATGGTGGCAATAGATATTCAGAGGCTAGAATTGTCGTCGTCACGGAAGTCAGCTGATTAGAACAGACCGTGGACGTTGATCTTCCGCTGCAGTGCACTACACTGGTTAGACCACAAAATGGTCAACTGACATACATTGTTCACCCTAAGACCACGTTGTGAATATTGACCGTCCACCGATGCCACGTCTGGGCCAATATCGTCCTGGCCCGTGCCAGCCGCCTGATCTCAGCCGGGCCGATCGGTCGGCGGGTGTGACCTGGTGACGGCGATTGATGGCCCGGGGGCAGGGAGACCGCACGGCGGCCGGCGGCGACCGAGGTCACCCCGCAGGGACCGATACCGGCCGGTCACCGCACTGAACGGCCGCCGGGAGGTCCAACTCCGCCTTTGGAGGCAGACACAAAGGTGCTTTATGTGTCATGGCGCGCGTGATGGGTAACAAACCAACTCCAGTTTAAATGTTATTGTTTAAATTAACGTGCCATCAGGAATAAGATATGTTTGAGCATAAGGGGATATGTGATATCCTAAATTCTAACTGTGATAACTGATTTTTTTCGACTGTGAAACAAGTCTGAGCAAAAACATCATAGAAAGTAGCCAAGAACAGCAAAAATAGCTCATCGTCTCACGCTGCCTTGCACACCCCGGCAACTACCCTCGACTAATCCATCCCCTCATCCGACGCAGTCGGGCTCCGTTCCGCATTGCGGTATACACAGCAGACGACCCTGCGGTCCTCGCCCTCAAACGGGCGGAACACGTGACCACACTCAAAACTTTTTTACTACCTCCTGGAGAGTTCATTTTCATCAAACCCGCAAGATAATAGTATATTGAAAGGGTAACTCGCTGCTACCATTATGTGCATAGTAACGGTACGTGGTTAATATGAGCTTATTCGCCAGCGAAGAGTATCATTACCATGTAAATATCAATATTACTCTCGCGATCCAGAACATCACGAAAACTCTTTCCTCCTGGGTATCATGACTCGGGTACAGATAGTCGTTTCATGCGTGGATCTTGTTTACCCTCGTGAAGATGATATTTGAAATGGAAACAATCAGCCAATCAGAAACGAGATCGGCCGTTTGCGGTTTGAAGACCGCGCGCATCGCGCGCATCTGTCAGTTTTCGGCCGTTGGTCTCCGAGAGCGGATGTGAGCAGTGTCGGTGCCGCGCGGCGTGGCCGTTGGTGATTGTGCTTGTGTGTTGTGCATCGCCTATAGAGCCTCTGTGGACATTTTATTGTAAGTACCGATGTGCTAGAGCATTGCGTGCCGTTGAGTGGTGCTAATTTGACCTGGTTAACAGGACCCCGTGCACGGCCACGTGGCCTAGTGTTGTGAGTACGTACATTAATTTTGTTGTGATGCTACAAGTTTATGCATTTTGTTGGTGACGTTGAAAAAGCCTTGCACTGTAGTGATCCAGTCTCATTATCTCACGCAGACGGGCGACCACCCAGGAACGCCGTCGCTCACTTCAAATATTGTGCGCTCTGCCTAATCCAATATGAGGGCGCTGAATGTCTTGTATTCATATTCAAATTGCATTCAAGTTGTATCGTGGTGTTTATTTACCGCTTGTGCATTGCTGAACGCTTTGTATAAATTTGTATGAATAAGTGAAGAGTCTCACAATGTTCATGGTTGGTGTGCCCCTCGTATTGTTTGTACGGAAGCCAAATACACCTACATTGTTGCTCTTGAAACATTTTTTTTAGTTGGTGAGCTCCGGTTAACAGAAGCTTCGTGAAGCTTCTGAAGGAAGCGTCTGTGGGTCTGTTACCATCCTCTGGGGGGTTTACACTAAAGGAAAGAGTAAACATTACCATGTGATAAAGGGTAGGACATAAGAATATACTCTCTGTAGGAGGGTAAAGCACAGAGTAGATGATGCGTTACTCCCTAAAAAAGGGTTCCGTTAAAGATTTACCCTTTCAAAGAGTGTAACCCAAAAAATGTTACACTCTAGACAAGAGTAAATCAAAAGAGTTTACCATTCAGAAGATGGTAAAAAACGTCTGTGTGTCATGTTACCCCTCCCTGGCGAGTTTACTCTTCATGAAAGAGTAAAATTTACCATCTGGAAGGTGGTAAAAAACGTCTGTGTGTCAAGCTACCATGCTATGGCGGGTTTACCCTTCAGGAAATGGTAAAAAAGTTTTCAGTGCAGACACAGGCCAAGCGAGGCCTCAGACAGGGCCATCTACCCTTAGTCTGTAGTCGCACGGACGTCATATGACCGTACTATAGGATGTCGTACGGACGTGAGACATCGCCCGAACGTCGTACTTACGGACGGCACATGGGGGACAGACTTCGCCAATGACAGACCGGAGGCCCCCCGGCCCTGCGATGTGAAGTACTGGGAGGGTCGTGTGTGTCTAGCTATGCGTATGCTCACTGATGGACGCACAAACGAGCCGTACCTGATCACCGTCGCGCGCGCGCGCCGCAGTGCTAATGTTTGGGGGCTGAGCCACTTGTGCCTCAGGGACCGCGGCTAATGATCTCGGGGAGCTCCTGCAATGACCCGGAGTCATCAGGGGGAAGGCGATAAAGCCCATATGGAGTCTCGGGTCTGACGAATAAAATACTATCCTGGCTCGCATTGTATAAAATGCTGCCCTACAGAAAGTTGCAAAACGCTCGCAATAGCACGTTACATAACGTGTCTACCTGTATTGTTCCGCTCCATTCAGTTCGTCGCTGTTAGCATCAACATTTCAACGCCGCCTGACAATTCACACGAAATCCGAACAAATCTCCTCGGGCTCAAACACCCTGAGCGGCACGGCCACTGGCTACAACGGGCCCTGAACGATCCGAACGGCTCCAGCCGGAGTGCCTCGTCCGAGCGCCGACCGGCCCATGAGAGTAGGAAGAGCCGCTCGTTCCGGTAAGCCCGCCCCGTGGCCGGCCGAGCGCGCCGCTGACCATCCCAATTGGCACCCGGTCCGTCCCGACGGGGCCGAGCGAGCGCTCCGGCGTCGGCAACGACGGCTCCACACGCCCGTTCCGTCGGGAACGACGCACGGGCGCGCGGCGGCCTGGTCGGCGCCGACGGTGAATGGGTGGGTCGAGCCGCGCTCCCGCAGCCTCAGAGCGGATTGATGGGCCGGTGTATCGGTGTGGTTGTACAGCAGAGAGGTAGAGATGGGCGATGGGCTGACGGGAATGGGAGAGAAGGAGGTGAGATTGGTTTAGGCGGGTGAATAGGAAGCCTAGGTAGAGTAAGTGATATTGGGCTCAGAGGCGGCTGGCGATGAGAGGCTTCGCGAAGGATGAGGGAGAAATGAGGGCGGAAACCTATCTTATATCGGTCGTCGCTATTTGAAAGACATGGTTGTGTAGAGATTTACCCAAAAATGATGTAACCAAAACACTTAATGATTTATACATTAGCGCCTCGATAAAGCAAATAAAGGCAGGATACTTTTTGTAGGTTAGATAATTCAACGTAATTATGATATACAACCACAAACCAAAACAAGAACCAATTAAAAATATTACTAAGTTCCTAGCACCGACGGAATAAAGAATAATCCGTTCTGAGCCATCCCATATTAGACTGTCACCTAATTAGTGGATTTAACTGTCATTATATGTTCAGAGAATCCCACTCCACCGTGACTATCTCGTCGATCATTTTCACGAAGTCCTGGATTACTTTCTGTCCCGACTGACTGCATGCTTAGCTAACTTCCCCAGATCGACTCTGCAGCTTCCGGCGGATGTCAGTGACCCCCTTCTGCTCTTGTCCACAGAGATGAACGGCGCCAGCGGGCCGGGGGTGCTGTCATCAGGTCTTCTGGGCGTTTGCCTGCTCTCCGCGATCTCACTGTACCGATAGTAGAGGGCGACCAGCACCGCTCTGCGCCTGAGAGACTGGTAATGAACTTGACACTGCTGACATTGATCTTGACTGTCCTAGTCCTAGGGGACTAAGACATCGCCCTGGCGCAATGTCAAGCGAAAAACAATGAGCATTATTTAGGATAGATCGCTTGGCAGAGCAAGCACGTGGTTATAAGCTGGCGCACACCAACTGAAAACTGTACCATCAACAAGCATGACTTGCTGCCACGCATGGTTGCCCGAAGATGCGCACCCATCATCACGCTAAGGGCCCAGCTACCGTGAAGCGCTGAAGCGTTACCCAATGACAAACGACGTGCGTGTGACCGCACCAATTACATACGTGACCGTGCGTGTGACGGGTCGTGACGCGTCTCGTAACGGTCACGATCGTGGGTCATTACGGTCGTGATTGCATACTGACGTCCACTGTGTGGTCAATTGGCGATGGAAAGGATGAAATACTAGTGATGAAATGACCTCGTTTCGGCGAGTGACTCGCATCCAATGCCGAACGAAGATCGATGCCAATAAGCAGACGCTTTAAATTCATTGACCGTTTGCCCGGATATATAGAGAGACGTTTAAAGCTTCATATCACAGACGCTGTCGGGTGTGTTTAACAGCGTCAAACGGCTGTTAGAACTCATTTCATAACTCAATAATCGGGCGCCCGAATTGAGGAGGTCACGCCACACTTGGCGCCGACAGAGTTCCTCGGAGTTCGGACCGCCGATCGGCTGGCCGGTCGATCGACGGTCAGGCAGAGGGCGAAATTGGCCCGTGTCGGCAGCGGCCGCAGCGGCAGCTGTCTCGGAGCTGGGCGTATAGCTCGGCTCCGCAGCTCACACTCGTCCCCAGAGCTTACACGACTGCCTCTCGAGCTTACATCGCTCGAGTGTGGAGCTAACCCCCTTTGCCCGACATTCCACAAGTCGTTTTGAACTGAGCAGTTTGAGCGAGGACCACATCTTTTCCAGGAATTAGCCCTCGGGTAATCGGAAAAGCCTTGTGGTCGCAGAATTGCAGCAGTTTCGGGGTCGGTCCTCAGGTTCGCGGTCACCAAGACCGTTTACCACAAATTGAAGTCCCCGTGGTAATGTCACTGGCTGAAGACATTACGTTTTACACCTCTATAACGACTGGGCCGTGTGAGGACGTGAAACATTGGATTGGGATTTGGGAATATCAAACGATGCCGTGATGAATCGTCATTTTCGCTGGTATCTCTCCCCTCTTGGATCCCTCTCTCGCCGAAAAAAAGGACATCGCGGCGGGCGGCCCGCGCATCGTTTCGCCTCATCACGGCAGCGGGGAGAGGGGAGGGGATGCGTATCGATATCGTTATCCCCTTATCCTCCCCTCCTCTGCCCCGTCGTCCGCGGCGGCGGCGTCTGTAGCGCGGCGGTGCGCCGGTTTTTGTCTCGGATTGGCTCTGACGGCTGGCACAGGGGACGCTACGCCACAGGGGAAGGCGGACGTTAGACGCGTCCGGTCACACGCGCCGGATTCGTCGGCAGCGACAAAAACGACGCGTCGCGATCTCGGCGTTTGTCGCGAAGATGGATGGCCGTTGCCACCGGGACGGCGCGGGTGGTCGGTCGTAGTGGAGATGTTCAGGGTTAGGGCAATGTGCGAGGCTAAACGGTATACGTTCTTGGGCTAACCGGCTGGTAAAACTGATAATCGTTCAATCGTAATTAAATGTTGGGCGCCAATCACTTGTCGCGGACTGGTTTGAAAGGAACGGTTTAACGAAATGCAACTTAAAGACAAACGGAAATGTTGTTACTTATTCAACACCTTTATGCAGTTTTATATATACCATTACGCAGCTTGCTGTGCGTTTTGTTTTCATTGTTTGTGTAAAAAAAAAAAACAAGACAAAAAATATCCTGTCTGACCTCTTCGAATTTAACCCGCGCCCTGCTGGGGGGGGGGGTTTGAACACCCCCCTTGTGTTTTTTCGCGAATATCTCAAAAACGGCGGCGCGGAGCGCCGCCGTTTTTGGTACACCTTATCATACATCAATTCTACACATGTTGTGAAAATTTCAGACCAAGGTCATTCAAGGTCAGGTCACCAGGTCACTTGAAGTGACCTCACCTCATAAAAAGTTTCAATGTCTGTCATAGCTACACCGAGTGACCGATCGCTTTGAAACTTTCAGCGATTGCTAAGAGCAATTGCATGTACAAAATGTATATCTCAGAATTTTGATATCGATGACCTAAGGTCAGGTCAATTTTGCGACCTCCCCATTATAAGTCAATGGGAGAAAGTTGAAATGCGCCTCTTTTGGACGAAAGACATTATAAACACTCCCAAACACTGAATTACAAGTGGTTTAGACACACTGAACATGAAAATGGTGTCCGTGACCCCTGTTTATGCCCTGAGGTCATCTTAGGTCACGAATGGTATCTAACAGTTTTTCGCAAATAACTTTTGATAGAGGCATGCTAGAGCGATGAAAACGCCTTAGATGTGTTCAGCTCGCCGATACGGATCGACTGATATGCAACATGACCCTTTCCGGTCAGGTCATGACCTTGACCTGAGGTCAAATTTTCAAGTTGACCTTTCAAGGTCAAGTTATAGATCATTCGATGCGTCTTGGCAACAGGAACACGATGCCGGTAAAAGTAAGCTCGTACGAGGCTTGGGTCAAAAGTTATTGCAGAAAAACTGTTTCCGAAAAAATCGGCTATTTTTGCAGTTTTTGCCCCCTGCAGGCAGGGTTGTATACGACTCAGTCAATAGCAATCAATTCAATCACGACAAATTTGGGAAACCAATCAAATCAATCAAGTCAGAGCAGTTTTCGGGAATTGATTCAATCGACTCAAACGCGACAATGAAAGGAATCAATCAACTCAATCAAACGACTCAAACCAAGACATACATTAGGTTTTTGCCCACCAACTTGGAAAAGTGTCCATAGCAGTCTGGTGTACCTACCTACCTACCTACCTACCTACAGAAGAAACATAAAAATATTGTCATTTAAAATTATAAATTGCCATGCCATTCAAAGTTTCTATGTAATAAGGAAGGATACCTAGTGATGGACAGGTGGATCATGATATTGAGGTTCAATGGGTAGAATTGGAGCAGAAGTTTCATTTAATGGGTGCAAAATAACCCAGTAGTTGACTTGCCCCTTAACCCAAATCACCACCTTTCACCTAAAAGTTGTCAATTTAATTTTGGCCATATTCCAACTCCATTTACACTAAATATCAGATATTGCAGTTGAAAGTTGACTGCTCGGATTTTGGCAGTGTTCGTGATTTGGCCATTTACCCTACACCATGTCTATTTCAATGGATTATATGCATCAATAACATATTAACCATAGGGAAATAGAAATAAATATCTTACCTGTATGTGACGGTTTTGGTTAGACAGAGACTGACGGGCAGCCTGAAAAATCTTTCCACACAATGTGCATTTGAGACGTGGGATGTTGTCAGATTGGGAAGGAAGAGATTTGAAGTATTTAGCGGTCCACGACTCTGGACGTGGCATGTCAATGTTAGGTACCTATGTGAAGAATTCAAAACATTTGTGTTTGAATTTTATTGCAATACAATTTGAAACTGTTAGGACTGGGGGATAGGGATGAGGGTTAAAAAATATATTTAAAAGGAAATGGAGAGGACAGGAACTCTGGAACCACAGTATAAGTTAAGGACAAAGGAAGTGGGAACGAGGAAAATTAAAACGCGAGAAAACGGTACGGTGCGACTGCATGAAAACGTTTTGCCAATAAGTATGCTAAGCTTTTATAAATCCTTATTCTACGTCTTTTGATTTTTTGGTAAGATGACGTCATTGATTATCATGTAGTATGGTAGATCATTATAAAATAAATCGGTTATACAACACCAATTTCGTTTTAGTTATTATTTTATTTGAAATAAAACCACTTAATAATATTCGGTAAAATATTTCAAGGAAAATGAAATATATTAAATATGTTATGCTTAGGCTCTCAGAGGAAAAGGATCAACAAACGTTCTGCTGCAAATTAAACAATGCAGCAAATTAGCTATTAATTAGGCACGTAAACGTAAATAGCGAGACGAAAACGGCGCTTTTGTTTCAGTTATTTTTGTAGGGGTTTCAGATATTTATGGAGTTCAGTGGGTTGTTTCTGAGGAGATGTGGAGATGTGAATTATTAATTAATCACACTTTATTAGTATATAGGGCCTTGCACTTTATCATCTGGATTAGAAAAAAAAAACGTTTCCTGCTGAGTGCAGAAAGGTAGGTAGGTGCATCGCCAGGTTCTATCACCAGGATTGGTGCAGTTATTGCAGTTGAAAGTCAAAGTTGGCTGTTCATGTTTAGGCCCTGTTCTTTATTTGGCCATCTACCCCATATTGCAGTTGTGATGACAAGCAGTTTTCAGTGTAGTTTTGTGATCTTTGATGTCATCAATTGGTGTCATTATTTTTCGTCAACTAAAAGTTATTTGAACTCTCCTTTCAATCGACTCAATCATACGAGTCACTCTAATTTTCAGGAATCAAATCAGTCAACCAGTCGCTAAAGTCAGACGAGTCAGTCAACCAGTCATCTCGAAAAGTCAATCGACTCAATCCAATCAACTCAAAATACGCGTTGAAACAAATCAATCAATTCAATCGACTTGATTGGTATACAACCCTGCCTGCAGGCAAAACCGTTGACGTTAGGTCAAATCTGAGAGAATTACTCAGAAAGGGCGTTAATTGGGCTATCAAATGCGCTTTTCCGCGGCGCTGTAGCTCTATTGGTTCCCGAGTTATGCGTTGGCTTCTTGAAAATTGTCGACATTCGACCTGAAAATCGGCGAAATTTTGCCTTCAATGACCTCTAGTGACCTGACCTTTGACCGGACCAAAAAATTGAACAGAAGTGATTTCCTTATTATTTTTGACGCTCTTTCGAACGCCGGCTTCCGCGTATCGCTACGTGGCCCAGGAGCCGAGTTAGAAGGGGGGGGGTGTTCAAACACCCCCCAGCAGGGCGTGGAAATCCAGGACCCCCAGCCGGGCGCGGGTTAACCGAGACTGTCACGATCTTGCAAAACATCCCGACCTCTCGGATATTTTCCGACGACTGACGGTTCTATTTTCTCGCAGGCGACTGCCCATATGTGAGAGTGCTCTCGACACCCGGCTGACAATGCAATCGAAGCCACCTGACGCCAGCTGCCGGCTGCGAATCCAGTGTTCGGGACGAGGCCAAACGAATGGCTATATTTTGTGAAGTGCAATGATAAGCGCGTCGCCAAAGTGTCCCCGCCTTCCCGTCTAGTCCCAGGCGCGCTGGCGGCGTCGCCCCGCCCGCTCGTGCCGTTGTTTGTGCTCTTGAGTTGTTGGATCGCAAGAATTCAGTAGGAGGCAGTAGGATAATGATGGTAAACATACCAATGCGTATGTGAGTTGATACATCCTGTTTTGTTGGATACAGTAGCCAACTAATTGAAAAAGCAGAATGCAGTAGTTTGTATTAGGCAAGCCGATTCATGCTGTCTTAAAGTAATCGACATCGGTTCTCCTTTTTTTTGCCACATTAAAGCTAGTATTTTGTCTTTGTCATTCACTTATCCGTTAACGAAATCGAGCCCAAATTTCATCGTAGATTTGTTTTCCTGTGTGTGGCGATATACAGTGGGCGTGCGTGAATGGAGTGTGAGTTTAGACGAATGTGGCGCATCAGCCTCGTTGAGCCCGTGAAACCTGAACGGTTTTCTGTGATCATCATGATATTCGTGTACGCTATTGGCGAGAGGCATTGTTCGTGATCCGGCTAGTCTTCGGTGTTCGAATATGTTGGGATGATCGTAGAAGTATACGAATGAGAGTCATGTTGTTTCGCTCGCTAATGGTTTTATTTCTCGCTGCGCTGCTGAACGTGTGTGTTTTGAATAAAAATGTATCAAAACCATAAAACAGCAATATTTTACAAGTGTTCATCGTTTTGCAACTATTCACTACCCAAATCGTGTGTCAACGACATTTTACTAACGGTGACAAATAAGGTCCAGCAAAGCTGTGTTTATTTCTCCAACAAACAGTACACGACACGCCTCAGTTTTGTTAGCTAGCGTTTCTCTGTTAAGTGCGGTCATTGGAATAGGTCCCACTCCGGTCGCTGAAACGGGGCCAAACGGTCCCCAGGTAGCCCAGTAACTGCCCTTCTCGTCTCTAGGCGTGCCAAACAGCCTCGACCCACGGGCGGTAAAAAAGCGCGCACCTGCCAGCTCTGGTCACGGCTCTGTCTTTGAGCCCCCGCTCCGGCCCGCCGAGAACGCGTGTCCCCGCGGCAGCTGAAAATCGCTGACATGTCACAGCGATGGGCGTGTGTAGGAACGAGGTTATTTGAATTCCGGCATCGGCTGCCGTGTGACGATGCTTTGGGCTGAATGCTGGCCTCAAATGGAATATTAATGTCCAATTTAGAACGGCACGGGTGTCATGTACCCAGCTCACGATTCTATTTTGAGAATATTACTACCTGCAATGTTTCCGAAGGAGTTCGTTATTGCCTCTGGCCTCTGGTAATGTTTTCCAGTTTTGCAGTCAGCTTAGGCGTATTTGACCCAAAGCTTCGGACTGTCGATGGCAATAACTCAGAGTATCAATCGAAGCAATGCTGTTATCGAATGTCACTCCGTCCGGGGGCTGGCACGGCCGTAAATTGCCACCATTGAGTTATTGCCTGCCACACTGGACGCATTTATCAAACGACTTCAAACGAAGGTAAAGGTTTCTGTACCAGCAGCGCAATATATCGGTACGGCTAAAACTGTGACGCTAAAAATAGGGAGTGCGATGACTGATGATGATTAAGAGGAAAATCAATAACTGAAGCCTGAAAAGTATCGTGCTCTCAGATCCCATGGAAGAAGCTCTTTCGGCACCTCTTCGCTTTGATATTACTGATAAGGGATCAACGATCCAATGGTATCATATAAATCACCAGTCACGTGAACCGTATGCCGCCATCGTTATTGTTTGTGTCTCCCGCTCCCTCCATCCCAAGCCCCTATTTCCAGCAGCACGCGTGACATGACCCCCGCAGGCGCGTCCGTGCGACGGATACCTCCCGTGGCTCTGCCATAAATCGCGCCCCGAGTGTCCATATCTCGGCGCGCATCAGTCGCTCGTCTCACCAGCGCGTCAATTGACGCCACAAAGACCGAGCCGGCTATCGGTCCTGTATCGCCGCTACAGGAAACAGCCGACAGCTCACTGTTCAGGACGCGTATATTCGAATCCAGTATGAGTAGAGCATGGGTCCCGAAAAAAATCTTCAGAAACTAGAGAAATTCTCGCGGGGCAAGACGTCTGTCAAACTAGCAGCGAGCAGCGAGCAGCGAGTCCAGCAGCGAGAAACGGGCCATCCCGAGTTAGCTGAAAATTTGCTCACAGAGCCTTCTCAGCACGCTGATTCCGAAAATCATGGTCTCTAGGGTGGGAATCTTTACCGTTCTCGAGATAGAACCCTCTGAAGTTCACCCATGACCGGGCCATCCCGATTTGGCTGAAAATTTGCTCACAGAGCCATTTTCAGCACGCTGATTCCGAAAATCATCGGTCTCTAGGGTGGGAATCTTTACCGTCCTCGAGATAGAAACCTCTAAAGTTCTTACCACCCATGACCGGGCCATCCCGATTTGGCTGAAAATTTGCTCACAGAGCCTTCTCAGCACGCTGATTCCGAAAATCATGGTCTCTAGGGTGGGAATCTTTACTGTTCTCGAGATAGAACCCTCTAAAGTTCTTACCACCCATGACCGGGCCATCTCGAGTTGGCTGAAAATTTGCTCACAGAGCTTTCTCAGCACGCTGATTCCGAAAATCACGGTCTTTAGGGACCGTTCTCGAGATAGAACCCTCTAAAGTTCTTACCACCCATGACCGGGCCATCCCGATTTGGCTAAAAATTTGCTCACAGAGCCTTCTCAGCACGCTGATTCCGAAAATCATGGTCTCTAGGGTGGAAATCTTTACCGTTCTAGAGATACAACCCTCTTAAGTTTTCGACACCAAAGACCGGGCCACCCCGATTTGGCTGAAAATTTGCTCACAGAGCCTTCTAAGCACGCTGATTCCGAAAATCATAGTCTCTAGGGTGGGAATCTCAACCCTTCTCGCGATAGAACCCTCTAAAGTTTTCGACACCCATGACCGGGCCATCCTGATTTGGTTAAAAATTTTCTCACAGAGCCTTCTCAGCACGCTGATTCCGAAAATCATGGTCTGTCAATTGTCAAATCGACCGGGCCATCCCAGTCAAATCGGGATGGCCCGCGCCGCGGTCATGGGTGGTAGAGCTTTAGAGGGTTCTATCTCGAGAACAGTAAAAATTCCCACCCTAGGGACCATGATATTCGGAATCAGCGTGCTGAGAAGGCTCTGTGAGCAAATTTTCAGCCAAATCGGGATGGCCCCGTCATGGGTGGTAAGAACTTTAGAGGGTTCTATCTCGAGAACGGTAAAGATTCCCACCCTAGAGACCATGATTTTCGGAATCAGCGTGCTGAGAAGGCTCTGTGAGCAAATTTTCAGCCAAATCGGGATGGTCCGGTCATGGGTGGTAAGAACTTTAGAGGGTTCTATCTCGAGAACGGTCAATATTCCCACCCTAGAGAGCATGATTTTCGGAATCAGCGTGCTGAGAAGGCTCTGTGAGCCAATTTTTAGCCAAATCGGGATGGCCCGGTCATGGGTGGTAAGAACTTTAGAGGGTTCTATCTCGAAAACGGTCCCTCAAGACCGTGATTTTCGGAATCAGCGTGCTGAGAAGGCTCTGTGAGCAAATTTTCAGCCAACTCGGGATGGCCCGGTCATGGGTGGTAAGAACTTTAGAGGGTTCTATCTCGAGAACGGTAAAGATTCCCACCCTAGCACGCGCAGTGGAAGGGTTGCGAGTACTACGCCCAGTGGAAGGGGGGCGGATGTCGCCCCCCCCCTAAGATCTCAGCTCCCACTGGAGCTAGAAAGACGAAATTTGGAGGGTAGGTGGGGGCTATGGGGAACTCTGTTGTGTGTGAATTTCATGACCCTAAGTCAATATCTTCAAGGTCAAATGAGGTCAAATGTGGTCAAATCTGCCATATTAGCGACTTTTTTGCGTTTACACGCCGATAACTCAAAAAGTTACCGGCCGATTTTTTTAAATCTTTCACTATACGAAAGAGCAAACATTTGTGAGTATGTATGGTGAATTTCTAGATAATCCAACAATAAATATGGCAGTTAGAAGCCTGCTAAGGGTAAGATGTCGCCGGCTGAAGCGGCATCGGCCGACGCGGGAAACGCGGCAATCACAATTTTGTGTTTACACACTCATAACTCAAGTTGTTACCGGCCGATTTTCAAAATTCTTTGACCATATGATTGCCTGTACATTTCTCAGTCTTCTCACCGAATTTGACGCGAATCTAATATAATCAGCGGTAAGGAGCGCGATGTAAAGACGGAACCGTCCCGCCCCGGCACAGTCTACAATTCAGGCGGCGCGTAACGGCTAGCGCCTGCCGCCGCGCCGCCGCGCCGCCGCGGCGGCAGGATGTTTGACTTTACACCGCTATTACTAGAAAAGTTGTGAACCGATTTTCTTACTTTTTGCATGAGAAGATCCGCAATTCAATTCTGGACAGGTAGCCGAAATTTCACATTGATATTATGCTTGCGGCGCGAGTTATTGGCGAAAAACAGGAGGGGTGGGCGAAATCCGCCCCCCCTTCCACTGCGCGTGCTAGAGACCATGATTTTCGGAATCAGCGTGCTGAGAAGGCTCTGTGAGCAAATTTTCAGCCAACTCGGGATGGCCCGGTCATGGGTGGTAAGAACTTTAGAGGGTTCTATCTCGAGAACGGTAAAGATTCCCACCCTAGAGACCATGATTTTCGGAATCAGCGTGCTGAGAGGGCTCTGTGAGCAAATTTTCAGCCAAATCGGGATGGCCCGGTCATGGGTGGTAAGAACTTTAGTGGGTTCTATCTCGAGAACGGTAAAGATTCCCACCCTAGAGACCATGATTTTCGGAATCAGCGTGCTGAGAAGGCTCTGTGAGCAAATTTTCAGCCAAATCGGGATGGCCCCGTCATGGGTGGTAAGAACTTTAGAGGGTTCTATCTCGAGAACGGTAAAGATTCCCAATCTAGAGACCATGATTTTCGGAATCAGCGTGCTGAGAAGGCTCTGTGAGCCAATTTTCAGCCAAATCGGGATGGCCCGGTCATGGGTGTCGAAAACTTTAGAGGGTTCTATCTCGAGAACGGTAAAGATTCCCACCCTAGAGACCATGATTTTCGGAATCAGCGTGCTGAGAAGGCTCTGTGAGCAAATTTTCAGCTAAATCGGGATGGCACGTTTCTCGCTGCTGGACTCGCTGCTCGCTGTTCGCTTCTACATAGTTTGACAGACGTCTTGCCCCGCGAGAATTTCTCTAGTTTCTGAAGAATTTTTCGGGACCCATGCCCTACTCATACTGGATTCGAAT